AGTAGGTGTTGCATAGACGTCAGCTGTTATTTTAGCAGATTTGACTCCTTAATTGTGCTTTGCTTAGGCGAAGCTTGCTGCAAGTGGGCATTCCCTGAGAACATGCCCGACCTGCGCAAAAGCAGGGAACGACCAAGGAAATGGTAGTAAATAGAATGGAAGGATTTTGTTGTTGTTTTGAAATCATGACCTTGGTTTGTCACTATGAAGCTGGAAGCCCAGCTGCATGTCTTTTCCTTTTCAACTCACCTGTGTTCCTTTTAGTATCCATCCAAGTTCTGGCCCTGCCCCCACCCCCAGTCCCTGTGCCTCTTCTCTGCCTCACTTTCCATCTTAGCACTTGCACTGCGCAGCTCACTGTGCATTTTTTACCTCTTTAACCTACCCGTCTGTCCCTCCCGCGACAGGGCTGTGCTTCCTTAGGGCCTGGAACTCTGCTTGGGACCCTGCTTGTGCCCCGGCACCTAGAACACTGCTTGGTATCCCACAGGCACTCAATAAATATTTGTCGAACAAATTAAGTCTGGTATATGTGTATTTCTCTCTGGTGGCTCTTGATTTTACTCCTATATTGAAAGAAGACCAGGTAGCAGTGCGTGAAGAAAATGAACCAGCCCATTTGCACACCACCTCAGGGCCTTTGCACTTGCTCTTCCTGCTGCCTGGAACACTTTCTTCAGATAGCAGAGCTCCTGAAGAGGGAGACGGCATAGCTCCTGAGGAAGCATGTGTCTCTCTCCCTCACTTTGCTGCAAACCTTTCCCAGGGAGACCTTCTTGGAGCCCCTTTTAATTGCTTGGAGCAATTAAAAAATAGCATTACCCACTGGCCTCCTCCAGACCTGCTATACCAGCACTATGACTCTTCCTTGATGACTCTTACATGATACTATTCTCATCTAGTTTACTATATTCATTTATTTTTTGTGTCTTTCTTCCTTTACGATGATGGCACAGACTAAGCCCATTTTATTTCCTAATGGTGCTTGGATCAACGCCTGATGCTCAATATATATTTGACAAATGAATTAATATACATGTCAGAACATGTAGAAAAGAGGGCAGCATTTATATTTTCTTTAAAAACATTAACCCCCAAACTGGGCATGGTGGCACGTGCCTATAGTCCCAGCTACTTGGGATGCTGAGGTGGGAGGATTGCTTGAGCCCAGGAGCTTGAGGCCAGCCTGGGCAACATAGCAAGACCATGTCTCTCAAATAAAATAATAAAACATAAAATAATAATAATAAAAATTTACCCCTTATAAAGGCAGATCATGTTTACTCAAACAATTATTATTAAAATAAGAGACATCCATAGTCTTATTAGACAAGGAACATCACACAGTACATAATATTACAGCCTGTTTTTTTTATTCCGTTGTAGGCAATTTATACACATAGTTTTGCATTTTGCAACCTCCACTGCATAATATTGTATTGTAGGTGTTACCTGTGCTGCTTTTAAAATCAGTATGGTGTACCACATTAGCAATTAAAGCACTATTCAGAAGTTATTTATTTTCTCTCTGTCATCTTTTAATAAATTTAGATTTATTTTAGTCTCTCAACCATATGGCATAGATGAGAAATAGAGATATGGGACCAGAAAAGAGGCTGAGAAAGAGGGATTTCCTTTTTTCTTTGATCCAGAACCTTCTCTATAACATCTACAACCTTTGTGAGACAACTGTTATCCTTTGGGTTTTATGTCTTCTGGAAACCCATCCCTGAATTCCTCTAAGATTAGAGAGAGTGTCCCTCATGCATGCTCCTCCTTAAACAAACAGCATTGCTTTCTTCTCTTCCTCTCTGGATTGTAAGCTCCCAAATAGGGACAGCCATGTTTTATGCACCACTGTATGCTCAACACTTGCCAGAGGGCTTGAAATATGACACTCAGGTGATTTTTGTTGAAGGAGTGAAAGAACATTGTGGACATGAATGGTCTCATATCTTAGCTGGTACTTCTTTGAAGTGTCTTCCTCCTCTTCTGAGACATTTTATTCTTCTGAGACATTTTATTCTTCAACTCCATAATATTCCATGTTTGTCTTGCCTATTTGACCACAAGCTCATTGAGGACAGAGAGGAGGAGCCATCTACTTTGGTGTCTAGGACAGTGCTGGGCTCGTAACACATACTTAATCAATAGTGTGGGAATGTATCAGAAATCATAAAAACCATATAATCTTCCTCTTCCTCCTCACCGTCATCAATACATTCTTTATGGCCCTGTTTGGACATACAAACAGGAGTAACAGTGTGTCCGTGCACCGATGGAGATTATGAATTTAGCCTTGGAAAGCAAAGCTAAAACAAAAAGATAAATGTTAAACTAGGTGCCGGATTCATGATGCAAACTGCAAATTGAAGAAGCTCAGGAAATTTCACCCCAAAATATGACTCCTTGGTATGGAGAATATTTTGAATTAAAGGCCATTGGAAGGGGCCAAAGAACTAAGCCCTGGAAGTGGCTTTCCCTCTATCTGCATAAACCGGACTGACCTGATCAAAAGATCAAAGCCGGCAATTGACTTCCCTTTCTCTCCCTGTTATCTCAATATATTGCAGGAAAGAAGATCAAGCATGCAACTAGATCAGGCCCAAATCATTTTAAATACAATACCTGTCTCTCAGGTTAATTTAATTTGCCAGGAGAATCATTTGTTAATGCCAGTTAATCTGTCTCCCCATCCATTTGTCCTCCCTGGCGCCATTTGTCACCTCTAAACAGAATTACCTATACTCCTCATCTCCCCTCGCTCCAAAAAGAGAGGTATAAAATACCTGAACTTCATTGGGATGCTGGGTAATCACTGTGTGATTCTCCCCATGCACATGGCAAATAAACCCTTTCTCTTATGAATCTGCCTTGCTTGTGAGTTGATCTTTCAATGAACTTTCAGGGAAAAGGGCAAGTTTCCCCTCACCCCCTACAAAGTTCTTCAGGAAGAACATATAGTGAGTGGGTTTGGCTGGTTAGAAGCAGCTTCCTGGCACGTGAGGGAGGAACAGGACTTAGGCAGAGGGAAGGGCAGCGGTGGGAGTCCAGGCCTGAGGCCCAGGGCTGAGCTACACATGGCTCTCCAGGCAGCCTGGACCCACATATTGGCTTTGTGCCCGCCAGGCACCGGACAAGCAGCCAGGGCACAGGCTACACTCAGAGTCTGGGTGCTCTACTGGGAATGCTTCAGCTCGGGGTGAAACAGGATGAGAAATGGGTGAGGAGAAGAATCAGGTAGCTGGAGAAGTGGGCCAGGGCCACTGCGACCACCTTGCTTCCCACACCTGGTGGTGGGAGTGCCCTGCCACAGCGCCGGCCCCCAAGCTGCTTGAGGATTGCAAGCTTCTCCTGGAGCCCTGTGGCTTGTGCCTCTTCAGGAAGCCGCGGAGCCTGCCTGTGGAGAGGTCTAGGATCAAAGGGACCAACTGGAGAGAACTGGGCAGTGAAAACCATGATGAAGTCCCAGCTCTTCCCAGGAGGCTTAAGGCATGTGCAGGAAATTGTAGAACTTTGGGGAGAGCGGAGGCAACCCACCTCTGCTTTCTATTGTCCTCTCTGGGCCTGCCTTCCCGAAGGTGAGTGTGGCAGACTCAACATCTGGTGGCTCTTGCTATTTAAATGTGCATTTGTGGAGAAAAATCTAACCTGCCATTCTGCTTCTGTAAACTCCGCTCGCTCAACCCTACTCCCTCCCCTCGCTGGCGCCACTCTGTAACTCCCTAGCCGTTAGTCCTTGGAAATTACTGACCAAGATTAGGAGTTCCCGACATTAGCTAATGTGGTACATGTTTGTGCAAGGTCAAAGCCCATGAAACTTTCCCCCCACCCTGTGACCCCTAGCCACCTGCGTGTGGTTTCTGTCTATAAAAATCCTAAGGAAAAAAAGGGCTGGTGCGACAGCTTCACTGTACGCCCCTGCGCGCGCTGGTAAATGAATCCACCTCATGCTATTGCATCAAGTCTCTGGACTCTGAGTTTTTTTTGAGCGGTCGTCTCTCCCCCACACGGGCTGTACATTTCTGCGGCCCAACATTTTGGGGGCTCGTCCGGGATCGGAGAGGCTGTGGGGGCGCCTCAATGGCGCCTCAGCAGCGTCTCAGTGATGCAACAAGAAAAGAATTTCTTGTCCCCTTTGTGTGAAGTAGGAAGAGGCAATTAGCAGCACACATCTGTTTACACTTCTACCTCCGGTTATCTAGCAGCACACATTTGTTTACACTTCTACCTCCGGTTATCTCTTGGGTTGTAAAGAATGACGGAAGGGAGGTGAGATGCGCAGGGGTCGTACAAGATACTAAGAAAATTAATCACTTCAAAGCTCAGCCCATGGCCAGCGCCTGATCAGTTTGTGTGTTGCTAGGGCCCTTTGGGGGATAAAAGGCACGCCGCAATCCAGGTGGGGGTCCTTGCCTAAAGAGAGCGACCACTGCGTTGGGGCTCAAGGGCTCAGACCCTGGCTAGCCAGACAATAAAACTCCTCTTGTGATTTTACATCCTCAGTGTCTCTTTCCTTCTGTTCGGTGGGGTTGAGTGAGGCCGTTCCCTAACATTTGGGGGCTCGTCCGGGATCGCCTTTCTCACAACCTGCCGGGCAGAACACGGAGTGGAGGGAGGAGTACGACTCTCTGCTCCCGGACTAGCCGAGAGCGGAGTCAGAGGCAAGAAACCCCGGATTGGAATACCGGCACAGGACCTAGGCGGACGCGCTGGTGGGTCGCCGGTTGGGACCAGGTGGAGACGTCCCCTGGTTTCGCTGGAGCTCTGGTACTGACCTTGTAGCCAAGGGCTCGGTCAGAGGAAGCCGGAGCTGACCTCGCAGCCAAGGGCTCGGTCAGAAGGAAATCGGGGAAGAGGTCCGGACCAGGTTAGGTTTATTGTCAATTTGTTTTCCGTCTGTTATCTGTCGTCTGTCTCGTTTGTCGCCGGCTTTTGTGTTCTGTCTGAATGAATGGGTTTTGTGAGTGAGGTTGTTGATTCCACAGGCCCACGCTAAGGAGACATCGGAGTGCCGAGGACTGCAATTGACTAGATCAAAACCGGAGCCAGTACTTCCTTATAGTTGCTTGTCTTACGCCACCATGGGACAAGCCATGACAACCCCCCTCTCCCTCGTACTGGGCCACTTTAGAGATGTAAGGGACAGGGCCCGTAATCTGTCCTTAGAGATTAAGAAGGGTAGATTCGTCACCTTATGCGAAGCTGAATGGCCCTTGTTCAATGTTGGGTGGCCTAAGGAAGGGTCCTTTGACAGGACCGTGGTTGAGAAGGTAAAAGAGAAAATCTTTGGGCATCTGGGGCACCCTGATCAGATCCCATATATCGTAGTCTGGCAGGACCTGGTCAGAGACCCCCCGCCTTGGATGCGAGCTTTCGTGCCCCCCCTTAGGGGACGTACAGAGATCCTCACAGTACAAGAGGCTGGGAAGAAGGGGAAGCCAGGTTCGTCACCCGCCAAGGTTCTCCCAGACTCTAACCTCTACCCTGACCTGACCGGGCTTGAATGGAATGCCCCCACATTTAATGCCCCTCCCCCTTATAATCCCAGAGCGGCGCTCGCGGCCCCAGCAGCCCCCGAGGTGCCTGCGCCCCAGCGGGATGCCACTGGAGGGGAGGGAGGACCGGCCTATGGCACTAGGCAACGTACAGGTCGGACTCCAGACCCAGAGCCCGTGAAGGCATTTCCCCTACGGGCAGTAGGGCCCCGGGGAGACGACGGGACACAGACTTATCAATACTGGCCTTTCTCCACCAGTGACCTGTACAACTGGAAATCTCAAAACTCAAACTTTTCCGATAACCCCAGGGACCTTATTAACCTTTTAGACTCTGTTCTTTTTACACACCAGCCTACCTGGGATGACTGCCAGCAGCTGCTCAAGGTGCTTTTCACCACAGAGGAAAGGGAAAGGATTCAGGGGGAAGCAAGGAAACTGGTTCCGGGAGAGGACGGCAGGCCTACTACGAACCCAAGAACCATTGATCGAACCTTCCCCCTCGAACGACCACTGTGGGACTACAATGAGGCTGAAGGTAGGGAGCGTCTCCGGGTCTACCGCCAGACTCTGATGGCCGGTCTCCGCATGGCGGCACAAAAGCCGACCAATTTGGCTAAGGTAGGAGACATCCGTCAGGGGCCCGAAGAGAGCCCGGCAGCATATTTAGAAAGGATTATGGAGGCTTTTCGACAGTACACCCCCATAGATCCCACATTAGAAGAGAATAAGGCTGCAGTTATGATGGCGTTCGTCAATCAGGCGGCCCCTGACATTAGACGTAAGGTACAGAAGATTGATAGATTAGGGGAAAAGACGTTGCAGGACCTTTTAGAGGTGGCAGAGAAGGTATACAATAATAGGGAGACACCAGAAGAAAGGGTAGAGAGGATGAGGAGGGAAGATAGGAAATTCCAGGCCGGAGAGGCAAGGAAGGCAAATAAAGAAATGGCAAAAATTTTGCTAGCTGCAGCTGGCGGAGGGCGACAAGTGAGACCAGGAAACAGGGACAGACCTCGGCGAGAAAGGCTTGACAGGAACCAGTGTGCCAACTGCAAGGAGCATGGGCACTGGGCACGGAAATGTCCCCAGAAGAAAGGGGGACGAGAGTTGAGAGGGTCCGAAAGGATCCTGATGGCAGGCCAAGCAGATGAGTAGGGGGGACGGGGTTCGGCTCCCCTCCCCGAACCCAGGGTAACCTTGCGAGTCCAGTTAATTTCCTCATAGACACAGGGGCAGAACATTCCGTGCTAACCCAGGACAGGGGAAAACTTTCTAATAAAACCAGCTGGGTACAGGGGGCGACTGGAGCTAAACCATATCGATGGACTACACGACGAAAACTAGACTTGGGCTCAGGTCAAGTGAGTCATGCCTTTATGGTTATTCCTGAGTGTCCCACTCCGCTGTTAGGCAGAGACATCCTTACCAAGCTCAAGGCCCGAATCCATTTTGAGGAAGAAGGGGTGACAATAACTGATAGTGAAGGTAACCTCCTCTCCTGCCCCCGGGTCACCCAGGTTCTGACACTAGCTCAGGCAGACGAATACAGACTATACCAGCTCACTGAACATGGAGGAGAAGCGATGGATCAATGGCTCCGCGAGTTTCCCATGGCCTGGGCCGAGACAGGGGGAACGGGGTGGGCCAAGCACAGGCCGCCTCTTTACATTGAATTAAAGCCGGGAGCCGAGCCGGCCAGAGTCAAGCAATATCCCATGTCCCAGGAGGCCAAAATGGGAATAACGCCCCACATTCGGAGACTTCTGGACAGTGGGGTTCTCCGAAAATGCCAGTCGGCATGGAATACACCCCTATTGCCGGTAAAGAAACCGGGGGGAAAGGACTATAGGCCCGTGCAGGATCTTAGGGAGGTCAATGTGAGGACCTTGGACATCCACCCTACTGTTCCAAACCCCTACACCCTGTTGAGCTCTCTCTCCCCTACTTTGTCGTGGTACACTGTCCTAGACTTGAAAGATGCCTTCTTCAGTCTGGCGATAGTGACACGCTGCCAGGAGATCTTCGCCTTTGAGTGGCAGGATGAAGAGAGAGGGATCCACGGACAGTTGACATGGACGAGACTGCCCCAGGGATTCAAGAACTCGCCTACTCTGTTCAACGAGGCCCTCCAAGATGACCTGAGTGAGTACCGAGCCAACCATCCAAGGGTAACTCTGCTACAATACGTGGATGACTTGTTGTTAGCCGCCCCCGATCCCCGGACTTGCCTGGAAAGCACCAAGGACTTGCTTAGGGTACTAGGCAAACTGGGGTACCGGGCCAGTGCAAAGAAGGCCCAGATTTGTAAAGATGAAGTCACCTATTTGGGCTATAAGATCAAAGGGGGCCAAAGGTGGCTAACTGAGGCAATGAAGCAAACCGTGTTAAGAATACCTACCCCAACCTCTAGCCGGGAGCTAAGAGAATTCCTGGGGTCGGTAGGCTACTGCCGCCTCTGGATTCCGGGATTCGCAGAGAAGGCCCGACCTTTGTATGAAGGGAGTAAAGCGGGGCTGACATGGAAATGGACTGAGCAGATGGCGGATGCTTTTCAGGCCCTGAAGGCAGCCATGCTAGAGGCCCCTGCCTTAACGCTCCCAGATCCTACCAAAGAATTCCACCTTTATATAGATGAAAAATCGGGGATAGCTAAGGGGGTGCTTATGCAAACCCTAGGGCCCTGGAAAAGGCCTGTGGCATACCTATCAAAGAAACTGGATCCAGTGGCGGCAGGGTGGCCAGCATGCTTGCGAATGATCGCAGCCACAGCTCTGATAGTCAAAGACGCTGATAAGCTTACTTTAGGGCAGCGGCTGCTCATCACTACCCCGCACGCTATAGAAGGGGTTTTAAAGCAGCCTCCGGGACGATGGATTACAAATGCGAGGCTGACTCACTACCAAGGACTCCTGCTGGATGCTCCCCGAATTGAGTTCCGAGCCCCCACCGCCTTGAATCCAGCCACGCTCCTGCCCATCCCCAACTCGGCTGCACCTGAGCACGACTGCCTTGAGATCCTGGCCGAAACCCAGATGGCCCAAAAAGACTTAAAAGACCGCCCCCTTCCAAGCAGCGACTTGATCTGGTTCACGGATGGGAGCAGTTTCGTCCGGGACGGACACAGGTACGCAGGGGCGGCCATAGTCGATGACCAGGGCAAACTAGTCTGGGCGGCATGCCTCCCACAGGGGACATCTGCTCAAAAGGCGGAGTTGATAGCGCTGACAGAGGCCCTTTGCCGGGCCCAAGGGAAGAGACTGACGGTATACACTGACAGCCGTTATGCTTTTGGGACTGTGCACATACACGGAGCTCTCTACAGGGAGAGGGGGTTCATCACAGCAGAAGGGAAGGAGATCAAGCATAAGCCCGAAATCCTCCGCTTGCTAGAGGCTGTCCTGCTGCCAAAGGCAGTAGCGGTAGTCCACACCCCAGGACACCAGGGTGGAGACTCAGTGGAGGCTAGGGGCAACCGACGGGCAGACGCAGAGGCTAAGAGAGCAGCGGCGAGTGCTACGCCACCAAATGTCCTACACATCGGCCTTCCGCCCCCGGGCATGGGACAGATACCTCCTCTGCCAGACTACTCCAGTGCAAATGAAGCCTGGGCTGCAAAACGACTAACTGCGCAAAAAGGTAAAAATGGCTGGCTGCGAGACGAAGAACGCCGCCTGATAGTGCCAGAGACTCTGGGACGTCACCTGTTGACGCACCTACACCAGACCACACATTTAAGAAAGAAAAAAATGTTACAACTGTTAAACACCGCCCAGCTCAGGTTCATGTCGCAGGGACGAGTGGCAGACGACATCGTCCGGGACTGCCGAGCCTGCCGAGTCATGCAGCCGGAGAGGGTCAAAGGGACCCATGCAGGTACGAGAGAAAGAGAGAGGCAGCCAGGACTGTTCTGGGAAATAGATTTTACGGAAGTCAAACCTAGAAAATATGGGTACCGATATTTGCTAGTTATGGTAGATACGTTCTCCGGGTGGGTAGAGGCTTTCCCCACTAAGAAAGAGACTGCTCTAACGGTAGCCAAGAAAATATTAGAAGAAATAGTCCCTAGATATGGATTGCCAGAGAGAATAGAATCAGACAATAGACCTGCTTTTGTCAGCCAAGTCAGTCAGAGACTGGCCCAGGCTCTGGGGACCAATTAGAAGCTACATTGTGCCTATAACCCCCAGAGTTCAGGGCAGGTAGAGAGAATGAACAGAACAATAAAAGAGACCCTGACTAAATTGGCCCTAGAGACTGGCGGGGACTGAGTGACCCTCCTTCCCTTCGCCCTGTTCCGAGCCCGGAACACCCCCTATCATTTAGGTTTAACCCCCTTTGAAATCATGTATGGCACTCCTCCACCCGTAGTCCCCAGGGTAAGCCCTGAGGCCCTCCCAAGACACCCCAAAGACGTGTTGCAAGCCGTACGAGCTCTGCAGCGCGTTCACAGCCAAGTATGGCCTGCCCTTCAGGCCCTATACCGCGCTGCAGGGCCCGAGGAGAAGAGTGCCGAACATTCACATCATCCTCACCAACCAGGAGACTGGGTGTGGGTGAAGAGGCATAACAGTAAAACCCTAGAGCCTAGGTGGAAGGGGCCCTTTCAAATTATTCTTGTGACCCCCACTGCCCTTAAGGTCGATGGAATAGCAACCTGGATACATCACTCTCATGCGAGGCCTGCTGTCGAGGACGCCCAGGAGCCGTGCCAAGATCAGTGGAAGGCGACAATAGACCCGGAAAACCCCTTAAAGACCAGACTGACTCGAGTAACCCCGACATAAATGAACTCGTGGACCCCAGTTCTCCTAGGGATACTCGCCGTGGTGCTCGGAGTTGGACTTGGGATTGTAGCACCTAGAGGCTGGACTCCATTGCAAAAATGTATACTGGGTTTGTTTTATGTCTCCTATGTGGGAATGTTGGGGGCCCTCTGTTTGTGGGCGGGGGTATGGCAGCCATAGTAAATAATGACAACCCACATCAGCCCCACAATCTCACCTGGGAAATCACCAACCTAGAGACCCATGAGATATATAACACGACCTCGGGGACGGCTCCGCTCAATACTTGGTGGCCAGACTTATACTTCAATCTGGAAAGGGTCAGTCCCTTAGAAGAAATGGAGGGAGGTAAATGGCGGCAAAACCAGAGGCGGGTATCCATGAGCCGAAACGGGTTCTATGCATGCCCAGAGTTTAGAACAAGAGCTATGAGGCGGCAATGTGGGGGAGTAAAAGCCCTCTACTGCGCCGCATGGACATGTGTAACTGCCAATGATAGAGAATAAAAATGGCCAGTAAAACCCCTGCTCGTTAAAATGTCCTATGCCCGGCCTTGTACACGAACCAAATATGCTGCTAATTGTAACCTTATACGTGTGAGGTTCACGGCCGAGAGAAAGACAGATAGACGATAGATCTCAGGACTCTCATAGAGAATTTATCTTCATCAAAAACCTTTGTATGGTACCATAATAACTATAAAGGTAAAGGCTTCCCCACTCCCAGTAGCAGTAGGACCTAACCAAGTGTTGTACCCACGAGTGGCCACCGCCCGTCCCACACCGGAATTATCAACACCAAGGGACTTTCCCTACATCGGGGGCGCAAAAAGCTCTCCAGTCCCTGGTGAGTCTGAAAGCAGAGAGTCCCAAGCAGGCAGAGGAGACCCTCTGTAGAAAATGTTGACAGCTGCATATGAAGCCCTAAATCGTTCCAACCCAAATGCTACCGAAGCATGCTGGTTATGCTATGACATAAGACCACCCTTTTTCGAGGCTGTGGGAATGGCTGCTAACTTCAATCTGTCCGCTGAAGCCTCCCCTGAGGCATGCCAGTGGGGCCGGAGAGGGCCTGGCCTCACTCTCCAGTCAGTCCTTGGCAAAAGTACCTGCTTAAGAGCAGTACCGCCCAGCCACGCACATCTTTGTGTGAGAGGTGACCGCACTATAAACCGGGCTGGGGCCAGGTGGGTCATTCCTGGTCCGAGTGGCTGGTAGATTTGCTCCAAGACGGGCTTAACTCCTTGCCTAAGTATGGCGCTCTTCAACGAGTCAGAAGAATATTGTATAATGGTTTTTGTGTTTCCTAAAATAATATACCACACC